CGTCGAATTTGAGTTTTAACCAGTTTAAGTCGGTTATTGCTACAGGTCAGTTGGTGTTTTGCCTGTTAATTGGTGATTTTGTTACTGTTATACATAATTTGATATTTTTTTTTTTGCGCCTGTTTGATAATTCAATTGCGTTGACGCGCGTTTATTAATTTATTATCAGGCATTGATAGAGCCACAAGTGTCATAGAGTGAATTTTTAGAACTTTTTTTTTTATGTGTGTATGCATATCGCACTATGTTAATTGAACCGTTGAGAGTGCCTTGTCAATTTTATGAAATTGTAAGTTGCGTTTGCAAAATATTTTATTTGTGAAAAAAAAATTAAAAGATATGTTATCTATTTGTAGTTTTTTTCGGGCAAATATTAATTTGTATTTTTCCACGCAGATAATCTTTGCTATTGCGTGAGTCTTTAAGTTAAGACATAAATTCGTTTGAACCATTTACATTCTCGAAAATGTTTGCTTCCTATCAATATTTCCACTTCACCGGATTAATGATCTCGAATTTTTATTAATATCAGATAGACGAGGTAATCGTCATTTCAGATTCGGATATGGACGAAATGCGTTTTCAACAAGAAGTTATGGCTCTGTAGCACTAGAAATTCGAGCTTTTTTAGGCGATCTGAGCACAACTGCAATGTTTATAATGCAGCAGTCGCTAAGGTTCGAAAACTCAACGAACATCCGCCCGATAAGTTTTAAATTTTTAAATTTATATGCATATAAATTCAGAGAATGTGTCTAAAATATTTTTTTTTTGTAACTGCTTCTTGTGTAACCCAGCAGAAATTGCTTCTTATGTGTACAAATGCATATTTATGGACTAATTCAGTGCCATAACAGGACCATTTTGGGAATAGTTCATTACTGGTTTAGGATATTTTCGGGACCTGTTCTGGACGCTTTCAGGAGCTTATCAGGACTTGTTCACGACTATTTGAGATCCATTTTGGGACTAGTTCTGTACCATTTCGGGCCTAGTTCCAGCTCATTTCGGAACTTGTTCACGACTATTTGATATCCATTTCGAACCTAGCTATATACCATTTCGAGACTAGTTGAGGAAAATTTCACGAACATTTCGGGACTAATTCACCATTTAGGGGGTAGTTTAGGACTATTTTATGACCATCTAGGGACTGTTTAGTTCGGAATCATTTCGAGTCAAGTTTGAGTTAATTTTGGCAATAGTAAGGAACAATTTCGGAACCGTATTAGGACTGGCTGGAGATCATTTCGGGACAATGCCATGACTTTTTCAGAACCATTTAAGGACAATATTGGGCTCAATTCGGGATCATCTCGGGGTAGTTGAAAAAAGTTGCCACAGACGATGTTTCTACCACTTCGGCGAAACAGATTATAACACAAATCATTGACCACGTTCTCATCTTGATTAATTTATCTTTCTTCAGAAGGTGTAATACCAGTATAAATTTGTGCAAGGATATACGTATGCAAATATAAATGTATATTTTCGATCAACTTTGCGATAGCCGATTTCCCGTGTGCGCGCGGCGACTGTTGATTTTGGAGTGCCTTCTTTTTCCACTAGAGACGGCATTAGGGTGCTCTTTCATTACAATCAGACGATTGTACAGCACGTTTGTCACTTGTTAAAAGAATAACCAACAAAAATCTGACAAAAAAACAACCAAATTCAAAGGAAAGCAACCAAATTTGTTATCCACTTATCTATTACAAAAAGCAAAAAACGAAACCGACTTCAATTATCATATACAAATTTAAGTTTATCGTTAATTTCTTCATGATCCAATGATCGGATTTAAACCAAATGGGACCACCTGTGAGGTAACGACTTTTCTTTAAAAAAAAAGAATTATAGAAATCGGTTAACGTGGTCCAAAGTTATGCGGTAACATACATAAAAAAAAATATTCCGACGAACTGATAACCAACCTTCTCCTTTTTGTGAAGTCGGTTAAAAAGCAAAAATTCAACAATTTTATTGAGCTTGAAGCTATTTTTTTGTGAAATTTTTGTGGAAAAATAACATTAATTTATATTTTGGTAGAAGTTATATTTATTTACTTATTACTTATTCACTTTTTATATGTGCACATAAAACACGTTACATTAAAAATAAGAATTTGAAATATTTATTTATTCATTTTTGGCATTCAGTATGCAATAATACTTTTTGTAAAGAAAAAATTTGCTAATTTCTAACTAAAAAGAAACACATCCAAATCAGAGGAAAAACTACCAAACAACCAAATTAGAATAAATAAAAGAACAAGTAATTTTTAGCAAAAAAAAACCGACTTCGACTCTCATATAAAAAAATATATATATATATATATATCTCATGATCGGATCTTAACCAGATTAGTATGGGACCACCTCTGAGACACTACCTTTCCGATGCAAAAAGAATTATCGAAATCGGTCGACGTGGTCCAAAGTTATGCGGTCACATACATAAAAAAAAAAATAAAAAAATAATAAAAATATTCCGACGAACTGGTAACCTCCTCTTTTTTTGGAAGTCGGGTAAAAACAACCAACAGTGGCAACCGTGCCTAAAAGCAGTTTCGTATTCTGCACAAATTTTCACGTCAGCAATCGATTTCAGAGGATAAATTTATCAATCTTTAAAAAAAAAAATATAAAAAATACCTGCCATGTACACTTTGCTCGGAAATGACCCATATGCATTTATATACCGTGTTTCCACGCACCATTCGCTGCTAGCTTATACCGTTTTGTAGCAACGATTGATAAATGTATTCTTCTTCTGTGGATTGTAAAAATTTAGGTAGCACAAAAGAAATTTTTGATTCGTATGAATGCAGTATTTTGGAAAAAGAAAAGAGCATTATCGATTTAAAAGAGGTGTAAAGGCCTCTGCAGGAAATAGGTTTGTAATATTAAGCATTGCGGACGTCCGTAGGGCAAGTTCTAATTGCCACAGTAGTGCCGATGCATGCGGCCCTCTGAACTCTTCCTATACTAACGGTTCTATTCTGTATCAGCCACAAATTCTTGTCACAGTTTTTTTTACGGAAAAATATATGAAAAAGTTTAAATTGTTGGTTACAGAATCTTTGTCACCGATACAGTATTTGGCTAAAAATTAGAAGTGTTTGCTTTTAAGTGTTCATTTTTGATTTGGAAAGTTAAAAAATACAGTATGATGCAGTAAAATTTTTAAACCATGTAAAACCCTCTGCAATACAATACCAATTTATTTATTTTCTTTATTTTCTTACAGTTTTAAAACCTACTTGAAAGCTTGAATTCGGGAGATATAATACAAAAACATCTTGATGCACGCAGAGAGGGGTATAACAAACCGATCTGGTTAAAAAATATATGTATAAAACCTAATTCTACGCATTATTCGATACTTATTGGAATACATACCCACATCGTGTTACGTTACGGCAAGTGAAATTTTATTTATTTTTATCTCACACAGTGTCTTGTCCTCTGCCAACACATCCCTATCGCTGTTATGTTAATCAATACGATTTTACATGAAAATGCTACGCGTTTTGGTGATGCTGATGTACCAAAGAAATTATTAATAACAAATGATAAAATTGTAGCTATAACAAAAAAAAATTCCAAAAAATTAGAAGTGAAAACGCTTACCAATCAGCTGCATGATTGCTTGAATAGCGAACAGCAACGAATGGCAAATAAAATGAAAGAGACTATTTATGCAAGTGTACCATCTGTTGGATCTTACGTGGATATGTTGCAACATCAAAGAGATTCGAGGCAACAACATGCCTGCTGGTCTCACCCAAAACAAGCACAAATAGGATGCGTGAAGTGTCAAAGAGCTGCCGCTGCCGCCGCGACCGCTACGACAATGGCAACAACGACGACGATGACAACCAGAGTTGCGGTAGGCGGCATCGACGATGATAATGTGGATGTGGATGTGGATGTGGATGAGGATAATGAAAATGATTCTGATTCTGATTCTGTTTGTGATCCGGACTCCGTTGAGTTAGATAATTGTACAGACAGTGATGGTGATGATGTCAGCTCTGGCATTAACAGTAAGGCAGTTACAGAAAATGTTTCTATCGATAACGAAGTGACAACGGTTTTGAATGGTGCTACTTTTAGTAAAATTATGAAAAATATTGCAAATAATAATAATAATAATAATAAAAATAATAATGCTAGTGATTCCTCTAATAATTGCAAAGAAAAACTTGCAAACGCTTATAATGATAGCGTAAATCACAGTGCTGCTGTTAGTAAAGATTATGCGAAAAATGTTAGTTATAATGACAACTATAGTAGTAGTAGTAATAATAATAATAATGTAGTAATTAGTGACTGTTGTCCAAAAATCGCAACCATAAGTTTAAGCCAAAGTAGTAATATAACTGACCGTAGCGTAAAAACAGAAACCAAAGTAGAAGCAAAACAAAAAGCAAACTCTTCAATTGCAACAAGCATACAAACTGCTGATGATGCTTTAAAAAATAGTGAATCGCTAACAAGTGATGTACTTGCTTTCGCGCGTGCGCAACTCCTTAGCTTTTGGCTAGCATTCGTTGCATTTTGTGATGCAGTTACTATTAAACATGACGATCCACGTTTCGTAGAGGCTCGTAGGCGACAGGAACAGGAAAACAAAAGAAAAGAACATGAAAAGAAAAGCGACACCGGGTCACATGCGCCGCAAGACAATGAAAATGATGCTTCCAAAACAAAACCGTCTCGGCATTTTAAGCTGCTGACAAATCGTAAATTAATATTTCTCTTCATCGTCTGTGTATTCTTCTCCTGTTTGCATCGCATTGAAGGCCGTCCGAATAGTTTGGTGCAAGAAAATTCGATTGCAGTTGGACTTACCGCGACTATGCCTACACCAGCCGCAGTTATTGCGGCTACGACTGCAACAGACGCGTCACAGAGCGACAGTGGTGTGACGCCTGCGCAATTGACGGTGAGTACCTACAGATTGATATTTGCATAATATTTTTTGTTATTAATTTAAACGAGCTTGCGTAGGATTACTTCTGTATTAGCCTCATTTGGGTACCGGGCCACCGCGACATTGTTGAAAATTGCATGGCTCACGAATTGGCTAGAAAAGGTACCATTGAAACGTTATAACAATCTCTTGGTTAAATGCGCCTCATGTCAGCCAAGCGAGCGCTGGTCGGAAATCAGTTCATGTACGATAGCAAGGCTATTCCGGCCGAGGATGCCACAGGAGGCGGTCGAGCGCACCCCTCACACTCACAAAGCTAAAACTCTCACTCTTGGTGAGTGTTTTAACGAATCGCTGTTCAATCGATATTCATGCATCGTAGTTGCCTGAAGACAACAGGGGTGCAATCAGTTCAGCACCACCTTCTTAAGTGTCCAGCGTTCGCGTGGCTAACGTCAAAATACTTTGGCTTGCACATCCTTAATAGCCCTGAGGAGGTCTGTGGCATTGAGATTAACCGAGTTCGTAATTACATAATCGGAGGGAGACGTTTTATTGATTAAGTAGTGGGTCGCATTCAGAATGTTGTATCACAAAGGACAACCTCTTAATTAGGAATTTAAAATCAATTTAATTTTGAAAGTTTTTGAGCATGTTTTTTGCGTGTGAGCATGTTTTTTGCTCTTTCTTTTGATAAAATTTTGCATAGGGATAGTTTGCATAGAGATAGATTGCCACCTAGTTAAAAATTAAATTTTTATTTCAAATTATTAGTTGAGCACAATAAGCGTGCAAGACAAAAGATATTTAAAAAAGCTTCATTATAAAAGCATTTTTAATAGGAAAGCTTTTTGGTTCACGGGGTCAAAGCTCAGTTAGTCTAGACTGAACTTAACTTACCTTAGAAAATAGTGAAAGATTACTCAACACGTCAAATTAAGCCAGAATCGAACATATTTTGTTTTTGTATTTTCTTTTGCAGCTGATTGACAATTCGTCGTTTGTAATGCCACATCAAAAAAATGCATGCATCAACAAATTGTAGCGTTCACTTATTTTTAAGATATACAAAAACGAAAATCTGGCAAGGCTGAAACCTACTTAAGTTAAGTTTTAACTTACCGCCAACACAGTTTCTTATATAAAAGGTTGGCCAAAATATTGAGTAAATTTATGTTACGAAAATTAAGTCTAGACTAACTGAGCTTTTAATGGTTCTGAACTTAACTTAAATTTCCTAAAAGAAGTGGAAATGACAGGTATTCTGACACAACATCCCCATTTTCTGATTTTGGATCATAACTTAAAATTTTGGCGGTGTATTTGAAATTCTGCTGGTGCTAAAATAATTTTTTAGACCCGCGCTACCACCCTACTATATGACATAAATAGTACATGTAACCATTTTTTTTTATAGCAACGTGTAATTGCCAATGATTTATTGATCCAAAGCCCAAATTTATTTAAGCTTTAATTAACTTGCCGAAGAATTTCATCTTCCTTGGCTCTTTTGTACACTTCATTTTCAATATTAATTAGTAAGCTTATTGATTATTGAATTTATGATCGTGTTTGTATATATACATAAGTACAAACAGACACATAAATATGTATGCAAGTATGTGGGAGCAGCTGTCGCGAATTCAGTTTGCTTTCATAATGGCACCATATATTTTATATAATCACATTTAAATGGAATTTCCTTTCGATGTTGTTAAGTATGTACATATGTATGTATATGTGTAAGTACTCGTATAAGCAACCTTGAACTTGAAAAGTGTATACATATTACGAACGCAGCAGACTGACAGCTAACATAGATATTTACCAGATTTTGTATTCTATATCTAATATTTACCCACCGCCGGGCGTCTGCTATTCATATACACTTGACTGACTTTATTACAAGCTATATTGTAAGCAAATAAGTATCTAGATATACATATATAAGTACTATTCGTATATAAACAGACGGATAGTCCAAAACTATAAAGCAAATGCAATGAAGCATCGAACGTGCAGATATGTAATCGAACAAGTATGTACATTAGACTGCATCACCAAAAAAAGTTGCGGTTTTTCCGCCAGGATTACAAAATTTATTATATTTTAAGACGTCCACCAAAATATTTCGGAAAAATATTAAGATTTAAGTGAGCTGGACCGATTTGAAAATACCTCCAAAAATGTAGTTTTTTATGAATAAAAATAGTTTCTTAAAGAACTTTTTGAAAAAAGCCCCCTCAGATGACAAAACAGATTAAGCTTAAAAAATCTGCATAAAAATATTTAAAAATCTTTTAAACGGAATCGTAAGAATGAGATTTTTGATGCTGTTTTTTTACTTTTTTCAAAGATTGATTTACGATAAACTTGAATAACTGGGCCAAAACTATTCTGATTTAGACTTATGGGATCTCAGTTGAAAGGTATTTACACACTGTTTTTATTTCTGTCCAAAAAAAGTCATTCGTGTCCCAATCTTTTTTTTCAAATACCAACACATCTTAATTCAACTTTGAATGAAGTTCCTTTATCCTATCTTTCTCTTTCATCTTTTGAATGAGTTTATTAGCAAAGAAATAAAAAGGTTTATGTTATACCAATCTTAAAAAAAAGTTAAAAAACAGCATCAAAAATCTCATCATTACGATTCCGTTCAAAATTTTTTTTAATTTTTTTTAAATATTTTTCTGCAAATTTTTTAAGCTTAAGCCATTTTGTCATTTGAGGGGATTTTTTCAAAAAAATCTTTAAGAAACTATTTTTATTCATAAAAAACTCCATTTTTGGAGGTATTTTCAAATCGGTCCAGCTCACTTAAATCTTAATATTTTTCCGAAATATTTTGGTGGACGTCTTAAAATATAATTATAATAATAATTATAATTCCAATGGAAAAATAGTAGCGATTTTTTTTTGTATGGGGAGTGATGCAGTCTAATGTACTGAAATTAGTCAAGAACGCAGTCAAGAACGCAGAACGTACACTTAAACGCAGTCTGTATACGCAGAATTTTGTCGATTACTGGAGCCCTCAGTGTTGCTTACTACAGTGTTGCCATTCATCAATGCCTTTTCATAAACTCACCGTTTTCAACTACAATTTTTCGTGCTATAATAGATCGTAGCTAAATATAAACTACTTAGTTTTCAACAAAAAAAAACCTTATTCAATAGTAAATTTCAAATATTTTAAACATATTTTGAATAGGAACTTATAACTATTTTACCATCTGCAAGACTGACGAAGTGGCAACCATCTATAAAAGGAAGAAATCAGCTGACACGGAAAAACGTAAATTCCGCAGATTTCTGCGCTACGGGCTACAACTACAAAAAAATTCTGCGTTGTTGAGTTTTCATTTACATGGCGCTCTGGTAAGACAGATCGTGTCAGCTGACTCGGGTTTACGTACCGGTACGTTTACGTTCTTGACTAATTTCAGCTTTAGCTCATTTAGATTTTATTGCAATTTATAGTCATATCCGTACACTAGTTTATTTTTTTCCACTATGATTTAATCTCGATGCTACTCTGGTAACTATGACTACTTATATGTATAAATATACATTTTCTTCTATGTACGTATGTACATATGGTTGTATGTCCAAATATGCTGCATATAAATGTCTACTTTATGACAAAGTGTTAGGCATTTGCCGCAATTTCGAACAACTACGACTATCTAAATGAGCGAAGCTATAAACTTTAGCGCATGAATGTAAGTAACATGCGGCTTTCAAGATGGGGTAAAAAAAAGTGTAAAATGTTAAGCTCTCACCCGTAGGATTTTTCTCAATGGAAAAAAAGAATATCCATACTTTTTTTTAACTACCTTAAACCTTTTTTTTTTTGTAGAAATGGTTTTGAATACTTGCAAATCAATATCTTTCGATCCGAAAACTCTGTTTCCCTATCGGAGATTTCCAATAATAATACCCAATTGTTTATTTTACCATTTTTAATACTAGCGATTTTTTATGGGTCCCCCATTACATTTGTTTGGGTTTTTTGGGGACTTTGAGGCAGTTCGTTATATTCTTTTTTCTCTTTTAGAAAAATCCTAGGGCACGGATGTTTAACATTTTAAACCGTCCCCCTCCACACACTCCCGCCGCATGTATTTTGGCAAATGCAAATATAAAATGAAAATATCTTGGGAAAATGACTTGATCAAGAAGAACGGTATACAGCTCCGTAATTTATGACTCAAAATTAAGTTTACGTGTTTCGGTGTTTTTCGTAATTTTAGCGTCCCTACAGTGTTATCGGTTTGATTGGTTTTTGATAAAAATCTAAAGATGAAGTTTTTTTTATCTGAGGAATCCGCTGACCTATCGAACGAACTAGATTTACATATTTACATTTTTGGTCAATGAAAACTAGACATATGTAAATTTCGAGTTATTTAAAAGAAGGTCATAAATTTTTAGTAAGACAAAAACTGCACATACATTTTAGGTTATTTAAAAACTGGACATAAATTTTCTGTTGTTTGAAAGATGGACATAAATTAGGGGTAATTTGAAAGTACATAAATTTTTGTTAGTTTAAAAACAGGAAACACATTTTTGGTAATTTATAAACTGGACATACATTTGCAGTTATTTCAAGAATGGACATAAATTTTGAGTAATTTAAAAGATAGACATACATTTTGGATAATTAAAAAACTGTGGATAAATGGTTGGTCATTTTAAAACTGGCCATTTATATACATATGTTAATTTATAAACTGGACATATATTTTCGGTTGGTTTGATTGAAGACATACATTTTGCGTTATTTAAAAGATGCACATAAATTTTTTGTAAGTAATAAACTGGGCATACGTTTTTAGTAAGTGATAAACTGAACACAAATTTTCAGTTATGTTAAAGACGGATATATATTTTTCGATATTTAAAAAATTTCCAGTTGTTTTAATGATGGACACAAAATTCGAGTAACAACTGGAAATATATACCTTTTATTTAAAAAAGGGAAATAAATTTTCAGTCATTTCAAATATGGACATAAATTTTGAGTAAATTAAAACTATGTATTTAGAGATGCATTCGCCCCTCGGCTTCAACTGTCAACTCTGATTCCAACAAGTCGGGCTTTTTTATTTTACCCAATGTCGTCGCGTATTCGAAATTGTGTGGTTCTCACGTGT